TATTAACTCTTTTAAATTATAAAATTAGTGTGTGAGACATTATAATGAGTTAAGACATATCATTTTTGCTTATATTCTAAATGGGTCAAATTCTGAGAAAAACATTCATTTTTCTAGACAGGCCTAACATTTATTGAGCTTATTAGTGTCTTGTTTGCATTTTAGCATATGTTTAAACTGAAATATCCATAACCACTGGTTGTCATTAACAGTAAGAAACATTTTTGAATATCCAATGTGAATTCCACAATTTTCCAATCTAGCTTTTGCTAAATGTAATTACTGAGGCACAAAAGAAACAAACTCCTAATTTGATACGCTGGTCTTAGATTTTTTTTTTTCCCCCCTGAGGTAGGGTCTTGCTGTCACCCAGGCTGGAGTGCAGTGGTGCCATCTTGGCTCACTGCAATCTCTGCATCCCAGGTTTAAGCAATTCTCCTGCCTCAGCCCCACCAAGTAGCTGAGACTACAGGCATATGCCACCACTCCAGATAATTTTTGTATTTTTAATAGAGATGGTGTCTTGCCATGCTGCCCAGGCTGGTCTGTAACTCCTGAGCTCAGGTGATCTGCCAGCTTTGGCCTCCCAAAGTGCTGGGATTACAGGCATGAGCCACCACGACTGGCCAGATTTCCATTTTTAAGCGAATTCTGACCAGTACATGTATCTTAGAAGTTATTTTTCTTACTCTCCTGCTCAGAATACTTCATGACCTCCCTTGACTCAAATTGCTTTTTTCACTATGAAAATGTATCCTTGGGGATGACATGCAGATATGGTACAGGAGGTAGCCAGAGTAAGCAAGATGCATCTTCCTATATCCTCAGTCTTGAGGAAAACTAAATTCTAACATTAGGCATTTTTACATTACAATACTATAAAACAGATTATAAAGTTAGTGGGGTTTTTTTTGGATAAAACTCAAATTTAAAGAAAATATTTCTGAGTCAGAGCATAGCACTTAATCTCTTCTCTAGAGGTAAATATAATCTTTCTAGTCCCTGGCACAGTAATGAACTGGATTAAGAAATAAATTCACTAATCCAAATATGCAACTAGAAGGGAATATAAGGCTAGTAACAACTGCCTTTGGATGATGAAAATACGATTTTTAAATAAAAAAATTTTTTTTTTGCTCTTCCTGAGGTTTCTATGTTTACATAGTACTTTTATGCTAAGGAAAATCAAACTTAACAGAAAAATCCTTAATTTTTAGATGTGCAACTTTCATTGCATTATCAAATCTTTATAAAATAAACCAGATTTGTATTTCTTTACTAATATAGTTTCAAATTAAAAGAGATTTAAAAATCCCCTTTCTTACACTTACCTGTGTTTGAGGTTTTAAGGGTTTGAAGAGTGGGGAAATGACAGTGAAATCTCTCAACCATGAACTCAAGAAGGAATTCTTGAATTCCTTTTCAATATTGCTTTGAGAATTTAGAGCAAGCTGTTCCTCTGAGGCTGATTTTAAACTTATCTGATTTTGAAATTTTTCTTCCATGACAGTTAATTCTTCATTATCTTGTCTAAAGTTCCCGAACACAGGATTCCCTTTTATAGATTTCCAAAGTAAATCATTATGTGGAGGTAAGGTTGCTTCAAATAAATACTTTTATTTTTCAAGGATTTCTCTCTCCTTTTCAAAAAACAAACTCTGCCCATCACAAAAATCATACATGCTTATTTATAATCAAGAAGATCCCTCCCACCCCAATAAGATTTATCTCTTACCCAGAGTAGACCAGTAAAACAATTTAGCATGTTATTATTCTAGTGAATCTATTCAAACTATTTGATAATCTTTTACTTAAACAACTTTTTAGCTCATTATTCAATTGCTATTTTAAATAGCTGCACAGTATCCTACTAAACATGTTAATCAGCCCTTTATTATTGAATGCTTAATAAACAATACCATCACAAAGACATAGATTACTTCTTTAAAAAGTGTATTTGTTAATTGCTTTTACAATATTGGAAAACTGAAATAATTATTCTTTTAATGTTAATAAATCTTAAGGATATATTGTAACTGGTTGATACATAACTATTTGAAGAATTTAAAAAGTCAACTGTATAACATGTCAGCATAAAATTAATATCTGAACGTTGGGACCTGATGTTTAGGCTACTATTCTGAAGTTTCTTAAATTAAAAATTTTTTTTTCATATTGCTAATACATTTAAAAGGTTAACCCACATGAGTTAATGAGAAACAATGAAAGAAGTGTTATGTACCTCAGGTGTGTGAAGGTAGAGAAAAAGGTTAAGAACTACAGGTATAATATGTTCATGCCATGGGAAGGATGGTTAATGTCAGACTGTTAAGGTCAATAAACAGTACACATGAGAAATTTTGCCTCATTAACAAAAATATACAGGCATTAGTTGGGGGAGAACTGTAGCGAAGAAATGGCATAAAGGATAAGAGAAAGAAAAACTAATGGATTAGGATTAGTTAGTTCATCTGAAGAAAAATCAACATAGAAAATGTTGGGACAAAATCACAAGGTATCAAAGTAAGCAATTTAAATGTTACACTCTAGGGAAAAAACAGTGCTTTGGGAAGATTAAAAAAGTAATATATACTATATAGAAAATGAAATTGTTAGTTCAAAACAGCTAGAGGCAAAGAACTAGTTAAAATGCCGCTAAATAGAAATAAGTGAAAAACAGTGAAGTACTTATAGTAGAAATTTCAAGGATGAAGGAATCAAAGACAATTGTGGTTCATTTGGGTATATGATAAACATGAGCAAATTCAGTGTGTCTCTTGGAGTCATTAGTTTTGGCTCCACCTAAACTGATCACGCAGAAAACCATTTCAAAACCATTTCAATGCACAATTCACAAAGTCCTCATCACACACACATACCTATTCACTATCCATTTAAACATTCTTTTGTATTCTAAATAGTCTGACGGAGGCTCTAATGTCGAATCAGACTCATAAAAATATTGTCCTATCTGCAGAAGTCAAATAGGCTGAGGCACATACGCCTGTCAAGAGTGTCCTAAAGAAGTATGAAAAGCTGTGCTGGGCAGGGTGGCTCACACCTGTAATCCCAGCACTTTAGGAGACTGAGGTGGGTGGATCACGAGGTCAGGAGTTTGAGACTAGCCTGGCCAATATGGTGAAACCCCATCTCTACTAAAAATACAAAAATTAGCCAGGCGTGGTGGCAGGTGCCTGTAATCCCAGTTATTCAGGAGGCTGAAGCAAGAAAATTGCTTGAACTGGGGAGGTGGAGGTTGCAGTGAGCTGAGATCACGTCATTGCACTCCAGCCTGGGCAAGTGAGTGAGACTGACTCAAACAAACAAACAAACAAAAAAACCAGAAAAGAAAAATGGAATCTGTAGATCAAGGTAAAAGCTTAAACAGTTATAAGATATGGCCTCTACCAACTCTCTGATCCCATTAACTACTATTCCTCTTTACATTTGATCACAGCCACATGTGCTTTCTTGCTGTTCCATGTACAAAAAATGCTTCAGCCTCAGGGTCTTTGTATTTGTTATTTCATCGGCTCAGGTACCTACGTGGTTTGCTCCCTTATTGTTTCTAGGTGTTTGTTCAAATGCCATCTCTGTAGAGTATTTCCTACCCATAATATTTAAAAATATCTCTCTACTGCCTTCCAGACACCTTTATCACGTAATTGCCACTTTCCCTGCTTTATTTTTGCCACAAAACTTACACTCTCTGACATACCAAATATAGTAACTATCAGTTTTTTTGTCCATTCCATCACTCACTCCTCTACCCACAAGATTAGTAAGCTCCATGGGGGCTGGGATATATCTTTTTTATTTAGTAACAATCTTCAGCACCTAAACAGTAAATAAATGTGTATCTCTCTATATATGTGTTTCAAATCTATTTTTAATGTTGCTTGTCAAACATTAACATTTTCACACTTCTAGAAATGACTAATAAAAATATAAACAAATTGACATAAAAATCTGTGTAGACTCAGCTAGAATTTATGAACTCTTAATAAAAGATGTATTTAAGCTTTCTCAACTATGGTACAACAAATACTAGACTTCATTGCTTCATACTAAAATGGCATTTTTGACTATTCGCATGGAAACTTAAAAAAACTACCCTATAGTTATTATCATAGGAATTCAGTTTAAGGAGGAAAAAAGTTTTAGTGGTACTATGAGAACCTGTATCTCTGAAAATGTTAGCTCTATAAGTGTAAGCACTCCCAAAGATTATAATAAAATGTAGAAACAGGCAAACTATGGGGCGATTTCAAGCTGCTACCACTTCCTAAAAATTTTCTTTAATAGAATCATTCATGCTAAGTGGATAAAAGTTACAGATTACAAAAGAAAGACACAGAATATATTCAATAAGAAATTAATCACACCGAGGAATATTTAGTGTAGAACTAGCTTAAAATTTTTTTTCAGCAGCATTTCTCAACATCTAACCCTATAGCAAATAATACAAATAAGATTCTTCAAGCAGTTGGCATTTCTTCAAAACACAAGGGTCCAATTACAATATCACGTTATTCAAAGTCTCACAGAATTAGAGAAGAATCTGTACTACTCAATGTTTTTGCATAAATTCCCTGATATTATAAAAATAAACCCAAACATAAATTATGAACATTTAATTTCAGTATAATGTAAACAAAAACAGCAGCTAACTTGTCATGTTTCATAGTAATTTTACCATAAAACATTTAAACATTTATTTTGCCAATATATTTTTCATTGCATATAGGCTTAAAAAAAAGAAAGGCATCAGAAATACCTGCAATGTATTTTATATGCAAAGCAGATAAGAACATAAAGCTAAATTTCCAGTGGAGGAGTTAGTTTTTCAATAAAAGTGTTCAAGTTATTAGTAATAAAATGGAAGTTATAAGTAATCCTTTGACATATGTAAAACAAAATTTTTTAGTAGATAGGAATGTATTGATGATAGCCTCTTATTTCTTCTCCCAGATATGCAAGTGATATATCTAAATACTTACTAGAGCCAAATCTATCTCAAAAGTTTAGGTCATTTTTTTCCTTTTTGATAGTATTCAATGAGAAATAACACTTAAAATAAAACTTTTTCCATGAGGAAGGTACAGTAATTATCCACCTGCAAAAGGAAAAAAATACAGTTTGATTTAGAATGTCAACTTCTAAATATATATTAATTTAGAGAAAGAATAGTTTATGAAAGTATAATCTTGCTAATCTTAGTAGGGCTAACTGGTGCGTGTATCAGTAATAACACTTAGTGGCTTAAAAAACACCTATAACTCTGAATTAATCAAGAAGATACATAACTGAAGAAAATCTTTAATATTAAATATGGAATTTAGTCTATGGCTAGGTCAAGTTTTCAAATCTATTATCACATATTAATCCGTGCCATCTGGAGAGATTTGTCCTTGAATATAAGACACAAATAGAAGGACTGAAATACATTTCTTGCTACCTCCTGGACACTCTCCTGCAGTCCTCTGAGTAAGCTCCAAACTCAATCCATACTCCAAGTAACAGACTTAAGATGATCAATACTGAAATTCTTTGGCATCAATTTAAAAAGAAACCTAAATGAAAAAGATTAGTATTTTTTCCAAATAAGCAAAAATGAAAACTTTATACCCATATATAACTATGTATGTTTTTTTTGCAAAACAAGAAGCCAAAATAAGGCTAACACTGAAAGGTACAAACTTTCATTTTAGTACTGACTCCTTATGTGTTTCAAAATTACAACTCTATAAATAAAACATCCAGTCCTGTTGAGAGTTTCCTAAATGTTGTTTCATTAGATATCGACAGGCCACCTCCTCTTCTCTGAGAAGAGACTGAAACTAAATAAAATTTCAATAAGTTTTAATTCAGGATTTTTCCTATATTCTCTTCTCAAATATTTCAATTTTTCTTTAATCCACTGTCAGGATTAAAAACAAGAAAAGTTTTCATTTATCTATAAAAGCTACAAATAATCCTTCTTCACATCTAGAGTACTTAATGATATAAACAATCATCTGGTAAATGGAAAAGGCAAATTTTTCTTGTCATTTAGAACACAGATTGAATATAATTTTCTAAAACCTGACTTCAGCTACATTTAGAAAAAAAAAGAAAGAAAGAAAGAAAGAAAGAAAGAAAGAAAGAAAGAAAGAGAAAAGAAGAAACAAAAACACCTAACTCCTGGGTTGTTCTGAAAAGTGTTGGACAGTATTCGGTAAACTTTGTCATTCATTCAATAAATATTCTAAGCATCTGTGTTAGGTCCTGGAATATTTTTAGTGGAACCAAAAGTTATATATTTGGTGCAATCTTTCATGCAAGGATTGAAATGAAATAAAGAAAACAAGTTAAGAGCTTGATAAATATTTTTAAAAGCACCAACGCAGTATTTCCATGTAAATGCTGGCATTTAGTTCTATCCACTATATATGGTATATTGGGAACCAAGCGTTGCTGGGTAAAAAGTGACTGTTTTTAAAAATGACAGCTTTGTTTTATATAATATTTTATCTTTAAATTAGAAGTTAAACAAAAAGGTCCTTTAGCTTTCAAATACAATGTGTTGTTTTGAGACAGTCTCACTCTGTCACCAGGCTGAGTGCAGTGAAACGACCTTCGCTCACTGCAACCTCTGCCTCCCAGGTTCAAGAGATTCTGCTGCCTCAACAACCCATGTAGCTGGGATTGCAGGCACCCGCTGCCTCACCCAGCTAATTTTTGCATTTTTAGTAGAGAAAGGGTTTTGTCATGTTGGCCAGGCTGGTCTCAAACTCCTGATCTCAGATGATCCACCCGCCTTGGCCTCCCAAAGTGCTAAGATTACAGGCGTAAGTGGCCACTCCCAGCCTCGAATACAATTTCTTAAATTACATCTAAAATACTTTAGTATGATTGGAAAGGATTAATTAACAACTGTTTTTATTTTGTAGGGTTTCTGCATGGTTACAATTGAAAACTCTAAGACACTCTTTGTAGAAAATAACACCAGAGTTATGGTACACTACACAAACATACTCATCCTGAACATCATTTTTAAATTTAATGACTTTAAAACACCACAGATAAGGAAAAGAAGGTAAATAAGCATTTTTGTTGAGATTTTTTTTTTTCTGTTGTTGAGATGAAGGCTTGCTCTATCACCCAGACTGGAAAGCCGAGACCCAATCTCGGCTCACTGCAACCTCCACCTCTCCGGTTCAAGTGATTCTCCTGCCTCAGCTTCCCGAGTATCCGGGATTATAGGCACCTGCCACCACATCTGGCTAATTTTTTATTTCTAGTAGAGACAGGGCTTCATGTTGGTCAGGATAGTCTCGAATTCCTGACCTCCGGTGATCAACTCACCCTGGTCTCCCAAAGTGCTGGGATTACAACAGGCGTGAGCCTCCTCGCCCGGCTTTCTGCTCAGATTTGAATTAAATTAGGCCAGGTGTCTCTACTAAAATTTAGCTGGGCATGGTGGGGGGCACTTGTCATCCCAGCTACTTGAGGCAGGAGAATTGCTTGAACCCGGTAGGAGAAGGTTGCAGTGAGCTGAGATCGCGCCACTACACTCCAGCCTGGTGAGAGAGCAAGATTCCGCCTCAAAAAACGAACAAACAAAAAAGAAGACAGAGGACGAAGACACTAATCTGATATGTGTAGCAAATTACTTGAGTTTTATGTTTCCTCAGCTATCCAGTGAGTGGGTTGGTTACCTACAAGGGTTTTCCTACCTTTAAAGTTATGGTTAAGTGTGTTTTGAGAACCAGAATTTCAGGTATTTAATTCCCTTATTTTGATGGCTTTTCCCCTTCACATATAAAGAAATATTCGGAAACAGTACTAAATATAATCTTCTAAGCTCTGTTCAAAATGCTTAATATATTTTATAATTTATCTGTGAGACAATGCCATATTTTAAAAGTAATTTCAAAACTAAGGGAAAACTTGAATTTGTTTTATCCCAAGTAAAATTCTGAATTAATGTCTATGTGGAATGTAAATGCGCATTAAAATAAATTCCTCTAATGCTGCATAAGCTCTTTCAAGAAACTCTTGATGGCATTCAATACAATTATTATTAAATTGCAATTATACTATTTTAAGAGACACAATACATCTGATAAATTAGTATTAACTTATTTTTACAGAAGCATACTAAAAATAACAAGATTATCAGTAATACTGAAAAGACATCAATAAAACTAAAGACACATTAGTAACATTAATATACATTAAAATACAATTGTAGAGTATGGTCAACCTTACTTCAGCAGCACAGTTAATACTGGAGATAATTTTAGAATCTTAACGCCAATATTTACGTGCTGCTAAGGCACTGCTGACATTGCTATCATAAGAGCTATGAATAAGAAGAAATATATTTTTTTCAGAAGATCAGATCCTTGTATTTTTGAGGCAGCACAATATGGCCTGCACCTTTTCAAAATCCACAAACCATTATGTGCTGCTACTTTACTCCAAGGTTTTTTTTTTTTTTTTTTTTAAGAGACATTGGCACCTAAAGAATGTAAAAAATATTTTTTTCAGAAAAAAAATGCATACAAAAAAATCTGTCTAAATATTATAACACTGATGTAATATGCATTATCAGTTATTTTTAAGAAGATTTAAAGTAGAATAATAAAATATTTCTACATCAAAAACTTAAATGAAGTCTGTTCTGTGCCCAGCACAGGGCTATAGGTTAGGAAACAAAGAATAAAACGCAGAAAAGAAAAGCATGTATTTGCTATGACAACTTATCAGGGCAATACAATTAAATGTTTAAACTTTTGAATATATTCAATATATTAAGTTATTTTTCCTAGTATAAACCAAAAAGCAAATTTATAAAATTTGATCTTTACCTTGGTAAAAGCAGAATTTACAAACATTTTGTCCCCTGCAGTACACCTTTCAAAAGACATCTTCATCAAGTAGGTAAGACTTCACATCAAGGGAAAAATATGAAATGACATACAAGAGCTCAGTTTCAATAAACTTAAGCTAGCAAAATGCAAATATACTTTTAAAGAAAAATATTTTAATACTAAATAATTTTATTAAATTTCTAATTAAGACATTTTAATTCTAAATATAGTTAATAAAAAAAGCTCCAAACAATCCAATTCTCCCTTAGGTAATTTGTTATTAATAATCTAAATATTTTAGTTTCATCATTGATCTCCACATTAGAAGGTCTCTTAGAGTTGGAGATCATTTGATACAGTAAGTAATTCTAAAATATGAATCCTTGGGATGATGAGTTAATTTGGTATCCTGAGATGAGAAATAAAACAAATCCTATAGCTCTTGATCTGGTCCATTTACCAGGTAAGAAAGAATACTCCTAAAGTTTCCACTTACTCAGCTGTAGAAATTAAATTCCTTTTCTCTAAAAGTGTCAGAAAATTGCCACCACTCTAATGGTGCCACCACTCAAGCCTAGACAATCTTTTTGCCCCATTTTCTCATCATTAAAATGGCTATGCTTAAAATTACATCTATTACAGAATAGTAAAGTGATGTATACAACCAAAGTATTAAAATTTGCCCCTCCATTCTAATATCTAATTACTTATAAAAGCACAGAGTCACATTTCATATTAATTTTTTCTGAATATTTTTCCCATTAATAAAAACTATCTGTAGCTAATCTCCTATCTAAGCAACCTGGATTTCACATATAACTCTACTCCTTATCGTCTCAAGTTTCTGCACAACATTTTTTGTTTTTTGTTTTTTTTAAGAGATACAGCAATGTCTGTTATCTTTTAGAGAAAAAAAATTTCATTTCTACATCTGATTAAGTGGGAACTTTAGGAGTATACTTCCTTACCTGGTAAATGGACCAGACTGGCAGGGAACAGGAAGACCAAGATCTACAGGATTTATTTCTCATCTCTGGGTACTCTTGCCCAGGCTGGAGTACAGTGTCATGATCGTAGCTTACTGCAACCTTGACCTCCTGGGCTGAAGTAATCCATCCACTGAAGTCTCCCACGTAGCTGGGACTACAAGTGCATGCCACCATACACGGCACTTTACATTTTTATTTTATTATAGAGACAGGGTCTTGGTATGTTGCCTGGGATGATCTCAAACTCCTGGCCTCAAGCAATCCTTCTGCCTTGGCTTCCCAAAGTCCTAGAATTACAGGCGAGAGCCACCGTTCCTGGCCTGCACAATTTTTAACGTGTAATCAAAATAAATCTGTTTGCATTCACTTGAGAAATACATAACATATATTTGTATTTATCAATTCAATTAAGGAATTGTCCTTCAGGCTCTCCCTCACCGCATACATTTTCCAGATAAAAACTTAAACATAATTTTCTTCAAATATAAAAGGTGCCTGTAAATTATTTAACAAATATTTTATTGAATACTTACTATGCCTCAGGCACTATCCCAGTTATTACACTAGTTAGCAGTATACCAGATACACAATATCTTTTCAGAAAGAATTTTAAATCATTTAAATTTTAAGACACAAAATTATAAAATAGGATGGGTGAGGTGGCTTACACCTGTAATCCCAGCACTTTGGGAGGTTGAGGTAGGCAGATCATCTGAGGTTGGGAGTTTGAGACCAGCCTGACCAACATGGAGAAACCCCATCTCTACTAAAAATACAAAATTAGCTGGGCGTGGTGGTGCATGCTTCTTGTCCCAGCTACTCGGGAGGCTGAGGCAAGAGAATCGCTTGAACCAGGGAGGCGGAAGTTGCAGTAAAGCAGAGGTCTCGCCATTGCACTCAAGCCTGGGCAACAAGAGCAAAACTCCGTCTCAAAAGAAAAAAAATAAATAAAATGAATAACTATTCAATACCATATATTTTTCTTTGTCCCTGAATAGTCAATGTAGACATCAAATAATTATTCTAAACATTAAGTGATTATTCCAAATTCAAGAAGAAATCACCTGGGATATTTCATTTCCAATCCTTTTTTCTTTTTTGTGTAAAGTTCATATATTTTCAACTAAGCCAAGAGTGCTAAACTTGACATAAATATAAATATTCACATATTTAAAAAAAAATTTCACAACAACAATATTCTCACTTATTACACTTAACCTTTGGAGTCTCACTCTGTCGTCCAGGCTGAAATGCAGCGGCATGATCTCAGCTCACTGTAACCACCGCCTCCTGGGTTCAAACGGTTCTCTTGCCTCAGCCTCCCGGGTAGCTGGGATTACAGGTGTGTGCCACCATGTTGAGCTAATTTTTTTTGGTATTTTTAGTAGAGATGAGGCTTCACCATGTTGGTCAGCCTGGTCTTGAACTCCTGACCTCAAATGATCTGCCCGCCTCAGGCTCCCAAAGTGCTGGAAATATATGCCTGAGCCTCCGGGTCCAGCTACATTTGACTCTTGAACAACATGGGTTTGAACTACACAGGCATACTTATATATGAATTTTTTAAATATACTGAAAAATTTGAAATTTGTAAGTTTGAAAAAACTCACAGATGAACTGCATAGCCTAGAAATAGCTAAAAAATTAAGAAAAACATGTCACTAGTGTGTAAGATATATATATGTAGATTCTAGTCTATTTTACAATGTGCTCTCATAAAATATATACAAATTATGAGTTAAAATTTATCAAAACTTACAGACTGTACATAGTGCTATTTGCAGTAGAGAAACAAACATAATATGCAGTATTAAATAACTGACTAAAATTGTAGTTCATACAATACTACTACAATAATTTTGGAGTCACCTGTTATTGTGGTAAGCTTGAGTATCTGCTTAAAATACTCTGTGATGCTAATCATCTCAGTGTTAGCTGTTTCTTCAGTAAATTGCATATTGCAGTAAAAAGTGATCTCTTGTCTATTTTTCGTTGTGTTTAATGCAATAGTGTAAACCATGAATAAAACTATGAGATCCATATGAAGTGCCACTGGTGATGCTGAAAAGTGCTTCCAAAAAGCTGAGAAAGGTTATGACATTACAAGAAAAAATTAAATTGCTTCGTACGTCCTGTAGATTGAGGTCTATAGCCATGGTTGCCATCTCAAGATAAATGAATCCAGTGTGATCACTGTGGGAAAAAAAAAAAAAAGGGGGGGGGGCGTTCATGTAGCTATGCTGCAGCTACACAAGCAGGAACAAAAACCTTGCACTTTTTGTGAAACACCTTACTTCATATTAAAAATGCAGCTTTTATGTAGGTGCAGGATTGTTATAAAAAAGGCATACCTATAGACTCTAATATGATTTAAGAAAAAGTAAAGTCATTATAAGACTACTTTAAAGTACAGGAAAGTCAAGGATCTTAAGCTGAAGAATTTAGTGCTAGCGAAGGATGGTTTGAGTTTCAGAAAGACGTTTGGTTTTAAAAATGTCAAGGTAACAGGAGAAACAGCTTTGAGGCAGATGAGTTCCTAGACGCCACTAAGAAAGTCGGTGGGGTTAAAGGATATCTGCCTGGACAGGTTTTTAATGCTGATATATGTGCCCTATTCTGGAAGAAAATGCCACAAAGGACATTTATGAGTAAGGAAGAGAAGCAAGCACCAGGATTTAAGGCAGGAAGAGATAGGTAAACTCTACTGTTTTGTGCAAATGCAGTAAGGTTTGCTGCCCTTAGCCATAAAGCTGCTAATCCCTGAGCCTCAAAGGGAAAACAAAAACCAGCAGCCAGTCTTTTGGTTGTACAACAAGAAGGTATAGACAATGAGAATGCTTTTTCTGGATTGGTTCCATCAATGTGTTGTTCCCAAAGTCAGGAAGTACCTTGCCAATAAGGGACTGCCTTTTAAAGTTCTTTTGATATTGGACAAAGCTCCTGGCCACACAGAACCACAAGTTTAACACCAAAGGCACTGAGGTGGTCTACATTCCCCGACACAATGTCTCTATTTCATCCTCTGTATCAGGGTCATAAGGATCTTTATAGCTCATTATACACAGTACTCTGTGGAAATGACTATCAATGCTGTGGAAGAGAACCCTGATAGAATATCATGAAATTCTGGAAGAATTATACCACTGATTATGCTACTGTTGTTACAGAAAAAGCTGTGAAAGCCATCAAGTCTGAAACACATTCCTGGAGAAAACTGTGTCCAGATGTTGTGTATGACTTCATAGGATTTATGAGCGAGACAATCAGATATCATGAAAGAGACTGTGGATATGACAAAAAAAGATGTGGTGGGGGAGGGGCAAAGAGTTTCAAGATATGGATCTTTGAGAAATTCAACAGCTAACAGACACCAGAGGAATTAACAGACAAGAGATGACGGAACCAGTGCCAGATGATGAGGAAGACAACATAGAAGAAGCAGTGCCAGAAGACAATCTGACATTAGACAGTCTGGCAGAAGGGTTGCAATTATTAAAGGCTAATTTTGATTTCTGTAATATGGGCACTGAAACTAAAGCACAAGGTGGACAGAGGATTGGTAACCTACAAAAACATTTTTCAGAAAAGTAAAAAAGCAAAAGTCAGACAAAAATTATGATGTACTTCTGTAAAGTTACACCAAGTATGCCTGGCCTTTCCTGCCTCCTCTCCCACCTCCTCCACCTCTTCCACCCCAGAGACAGCAAAACCAACCCACCCTCTTCTTCCTCAGCCTGCTCAATGTGAAAACAGTGAAGATGAAGGCCTGTATGATGATCCACTTCCATTTAATCAACATTTTCTTTTTGTTATTATTTTCCTAATATTTTCTCTAGCTTACTTTAACATGGTATATAATACAAATACCATACAGAATATGTGTTACTGACATTAAGTTATTGGCAAGGCTTCTGGTCAACAGGAGGCTATCAGTAGTCGAGTTTTAGGGAAGCCAAAACTTAGAGATTTTCAACTGTATGAGGGTTGGCACCTCTAATCTTCACATTGTTCAAGCGTCAACTGTATTTTTTAAATTGTGGTTCACTATACATAAAATTCACCATTTTAACCAGTTTTAAGCATACAC